TGTGTGTAGTACAGGTGGCTACAGAGTCCAGAAGTAGGTATCAGATCCCCTAGAGCTGGAATTACAGGCTTCTGTGAGCTGCATAATGTGGGTAGTGGGAACCAAACTCTGATCCTCTGCAAGATCAGTACAAGCTATTAACCAGTGAGCCATCTCTCCAGCCCCAGATGGTGTTTTCAAGGCTTCTTCATGTTGCACATGTCAGTGTTTCGTTCTTTTTCAATGTTGAATAACGTTCCATTGTATGGATGCATCTCATTTTACATTCCTCAGCTGATGGACATAGATTGTATCCATTTGGGAAGTACTGTGAATGTTGCTGCTTGCTATGAACATTCTTGTATAAGATTTTCATGAACATGTGTTTTCACTTCTCTTGGGTACCTGCCCTGCAGTGGATTTGCCTGGTCATTTGATGGTACTGTGCTTAGACTTTTGGGGTACTACCAGCAGGCTTTTTTCCCAAAGTGATTGCCATCCATCACTTAAGTTTCTCTATGCTCCATAGAACTAATCCTATTCAATCTTATTTTTCTATTATTTTATTTTTTAATCCCATGTGGCCTTCATTCAATATGTAATGACAATCTATGTTTGGGTTTCTCTCCAAATTCATAGTTTCAGAGTTATTGCTGAATGGATAATCCTTAATCCCTCATTAATGCATACTGTCTTCTTTTATAAATCAAAGTTGTATAATAATGGCTTATTTATACTGTTTCATTGATTTATCCATTATTTTGTTTTAATAATTCATATGCCAGCTCTCTCTTATCATAATCCATTTTTGAGTATTCTTTATTATCTTTGTTGAACTTTAGTCTTTGTTTTAACTCCATTGACGAAGTCAGTGGGGATTTTTTTTTAATTTACTCTTTTAAAATTATTTTATTATTTTTATTCTATGAGTGTATTGCCTGCATGTATGTGAGTGCACCCATATTGTGCAATGGCCCAGAGGTCAAAAGAGGGCACTGGATTCCCCTAGAACTGGAGTTAAGGACGTTCATAGCCGCCATGTGGGTGTTGGGAATGGAACCCGGGTCCTCTGCAAGAGCAGTCAGTGCTCTTAATCTCTGAGCCATCTCTCCAACCCCCAGTGGGGATTTTTAAAATCACTGCTACATTATCTCTATAAGGTAATGTGACATGTTTCTATTTCTAAACTATTTAGTTCTGCCACCTGAAGCATGCTCTTTCTCTAGACAAAATTAAAAAAAAAAAAAAAAGACCAACAATCCTAACAATACTATTAATACCAACAATACTAACAATACTTGGTGAGTTGTTTGTTCCATAGATTAAAACAGAAGAAAGGGTCAAAATGTTTCTGGAGTTTGGCATCTGAGTGATTAAGAGAAGCTTAATGTGGACCAACAGAACAGTGAAGGGTCATCACAGGAAGGAGGACACATTTCCAGTGATACTTTGAAGAGCAGAAAAATAGTCCATGTCTCAGAATTACCAAGAGGCAGATTCAGCCATATATAAAAAATCATTTTATATACTAGAGCTCTCCAAAAATCACAGAGAGAGAGAGAGAGAGAGAGAGAACAAAAAGGAGGAGGAGAAGGTTAATAATAAGACAAACATCTCCTCTTCCCCAATCATAGAATTATGGTTCACAATGGAACAAGGAAATGTTGACTAATAGTTAAGTACCACTGAAAGAGAAAGTAAGTCAAGGCTTTGGAAAATCACTAGATTTGAGAAAAGTAGGTCATGGGTGGCTCTGGAGAATGAAGTGGTTAGGTCTATGTAATGGCAAGAGGACAGCTGGGTGGTACTACCAAGTCAGGCAAAGATGCATTTGTTTCAGGATGGGGATGCTGTCTATCTCTTAGGTCCTAAATCTAGCAGTGGAGATTAAGAAAGAAAAAGTACAATAGATGCCTAACATTCAAGGGTTTAATAGATCTGGTTCTTACTCTTTGTCAGCGACACCCCCCCCCCACTTAATCCAAGACATGTAGTAATATGTAAATTTGCCAAGACACACATTGGATTCATATCAGCTGAGAAACCACCATACAGCCATGAGTCACTTATTTGGAGAGCAAGTCTAACCAGCTGCCCAACATCTGTATCATAACATGCTTTTGTTAGTCTCTCTACTAATCACTGGGTATGCTGTAACCACGGAGTCATGGGGACTCTGCTGTTTTGGGCATGCAGATAAGCTCATGGATGATGTTGTTATTAAGGTGATGCACAATGATGCTTTAGAAAACCATCTAAGGGACTGAAGACACCACTTTGTTGCTTCAGGCATTGTTTTCTCCATTTTATGAGATAATTATACATGGGAGAGGTGAGGCCATTTCTGTAGAAGAAAGTCATAAGGAAGTGGAAAGGGCTGGTTTTTAGCTTATAGATAGGATTTATTTTAGAATCTGGAAAGAATATTTTTTAAGTCTTAGTTTGATTTCCCCAGAGAGCACAACGGAACAAAAATAGAAAAAAATCGAAATACTTTATGGATAACTGATCACAAGAGCAGGGTGCAGGAGACTGAAGGCAGGAGAGGCCTCCCGCAGTATATTATTGAGTTGTTCAATGCTGTGGTCCACCTGAGAAGCCACATAGCACACATATCAGTACTTCTTTGTCTGGGATGAGAAAGGAGGAGGTATTTATCTACCAGGTTGAATCTCCATGGATTGAAGGATCACTCCATTGAGATATTGTCCTCAAAACCTGCAGATTGCAGGGCCTTTGGAAGAGAAAACATGAAGAATGGGTGTGGAAAACGAGGGAATTTGAGCCCACAGTAAAAGATTTTGAGGGGGCTGACAAGATGGCTCAGCTGGTAAAAGCACTTGTCGTGCAAACCTGATGACCCATGTTTGATCCCCAAATGACCTGAGTGTGATCCCCAGAACTGACAAGAAAGCAGGATGCTGTGGCTCACCTCTCTAATTTTAGTACTCCCACTGCGAGGTGGGAAGTGGAGGCAGGAATCTCTGGCCAGCTAGCCTGAAGTCCACAGAGTCACAGAAACAGGAGAGACCCTGCCTCAACATGCACACCATGACATGCATGTACCTGCACACACATACATACACACACACAGACACACACGACAATAACAAATAAAAATTAAAAATTAAAAAAAGATTTTAGGGAACCAGCATGTTAATTAACAACCAAAACAGTTGCTAAAACCTGAAAGCCAAGTAAGATTTTTTTCTTTTACTGGAAGCAGACTTCCCAGTCATTTCTACAAGGTAAGTTGGAAAGATGGATATCATTTTTCATTTTCATATAATACACTGGATGCAATGTAAGTGTGATGTCAAGAATCTGCACTGCTTTCATGATTAAACAAAAGAAAATAAAATTAGTTGAAGGCAAAACTCAAATTCAATCCCATTGTGAATAAATAATTGCCCACCACCCAGTGACTCTACAGGGGAACAAAATAGGCAGCCTAAAATGTGGTTTGGTTAGTCTCCTCATCACTCAAATTTTGCAAAATCAATTAAGCTATGTGACCTGGTTAACACAAAGACCAAATGGAATTAAATACCTCCAAAAGGTAGGGAGATGCCAAACCTATAAGCAAAAGTTTAGAATGGCACACAGAGATGCAGTCCAGTTCCATCAGCAGCTCTTTGTTTGATCTCCAATTTCCAGGGAGGTACTTGCCTCCTTAGTCTTCACCCTCAGTCCAGATCCCTACTCAGCAGGAGTTCAGGAAGACATGGAGTCATAAACAGAGGGACAACATAATAACATCAGCTACCTAGTTACTATGCCCTTCTCTGTGCCCACTTCATGTTACAGATTCATGTCATGAATCTTAGCCCTTAAAATTAAGAAGTAGATGAGAGGCTAGGCATAGTCACATGCCTGTAATCCCAAAACTCAGGAAACTGACAGAGGGATCAAGAGTTTGAGGTCAGCCAAAGCGAAACAACAATGCAGTAGATGAGGTAGTAACTATATATCAATTGCGCTAGTCCCCTGTGTTTCACACTAGTAAGACTATCTACCACCACTCTCAAATATAGCAAACCCTCATTAGTTGCTAAAGACCCAATGTTTATGTCTCCCCCAAATTTCTATCTTATTTTCAGTGTAGGATGGTGGGCACATGAAGCAGTCACAAGGGTAGAACCCTCATGAATAGGATTAGAGCCTATAGAAAGAGCTAAAGAGACCAGAGTTCTCCCCCTTCTGCCATTCAGAACATGCCTAGAAGGGGTGTCTGTGAATCAGGAGGCAGACCCTTATCAGACCCTGAATCTGCTGGCACCTGGACCACACATTTCCCTGCCTCCAGATCGATGACAAATAGATATACTGCTTTCCAGTCACTCAGTTTATGACATTCTGCTGCAGCCCAAATGGACTAAGCCATCATCCAATGAACACAGAATTTTAAAAAAACATTTACTTATTTTCTGACTTCTAATATTTAAAAAAAATGAATAAACGCAATCTTAGTCAAAGAACTATTGACAGCTGATTCCTGCTGGGTGAAAGTTGATCTTCTTCAAGGGAGAGACTCTAGATAGGCTGACTAGACCCCAGTAGATGAACTTGCACTGAGGGCCATCTGGGGACACTAACTTGACTTGATAGTCCTTAACATATATGACAGAATGCATGAAATCCTGTGGGGCTGGATTTGGGGAGATCCAAATGGAGGAAGGTGTATAAAGATTAAAATGCACAAAAATTCAATAAAAATATACATTAAAAGTTTTTTAAAAAATGAATTAATGAGGGGCTGGGACTACAGCTTTGAAATTGAAATGAGTTCGTTTTCTCTTTGGAACAGTCAGAACAGAATACTTTTTACACTACCTCTGGCACTTGCCATAAGTAACAATTCATCAGGCCAGAAAGAGAGGAACAAATCAGGGATTTAAAAGTACCAAGGCGGCTCCATAGTCTATTTTTAATCCAGCCAATTTCCTGCTAGCTTAGAATGTCTTCCATTGTGCCTCCCCTTTGGAGTCAGCCTACAGCAGCGGCACCCTCAGTTTCTTCTGGAAACTTCCCAGTTTAGAATTCCAAAAGAGACAGGTTCTCTCCTGCTGTGTGGTTAATGAAACTGGTAGGCCGGCCGGCTTCCTCCTGGTTGCCGTGGAAACGACCAGGCCACTGGCCCTCTGGAAACGGAAAAGAACAGCTAGTGCGAGACCACGAGACCACGCATTCCACCCTTGCTAGCAGATTAAACCAGACGTCAAGCCAGGGTGAGGGATCAGTGGCCAGGCAAGAGGTCCGGCGGTCTGCAGACCAGAGAGGAGAGTCAAGACCCCGCGTTGGCTGCAAGATGTAAGTAAAGATCTGCTCTTATTTTTAAAAAAGCCTGTGTAGCGCAAACAGACAACGTGAATACCTTCAGAATTTCTGCTGCATGGCAGGGAAGCTCTGCGACTGTTGGAGAGGCCACTGTCAGGCCCACCTCCTCGTAGCTTCCACATACCCACATTCCCGAAACACAGCCTGTTGGCCACAAGTAAGCGTGGTGGCCGAGGCCGCCAAACACTTTTTGAGGCTTCCAAGCACCTGAGTAACTTTCTACTGAGATCTGCCTTTAAATGGAAACCTTTTCAGGGCATCAAGCAAGAGTGAAATGGGTTTCTCTTTTAGTCCCTAGATAAATAGGAATCTGAACTTCTTGATTCTATTTTAATACTTCTATTTCTTCTCTTCTGTTAGTCTACAATATTAAATAATGAAATAAAACAGATCCATATCCTATCTCTTTTTCTGATCTTGAGAGTGAAGGAAATCGAGAAGTTTCACCAAGCACAGCTAATGGTGATTTTTTTTACTGTATTTTTCAATAGTATTATATTTATTTACAGCTCATTTACATGCTTGGTTTGTAGAGTTTACTCCTTAGAAACAGTAAACTTGGATACACATTAGCATTTGGATCAGGTTGCTAACTTTTTAAAAAATTAGTGTTTTTATTAAAAATAGAAAGAACATGATAAATAATGAACAATTCAGACAAGATGAGGTCATGTTTAGTTAAAGGCCAGTAGTCCATACACAGTCCTACATCAATTTGATTGTGTTATAAACATGTTCTTGGACAGTTTTTAGCAAAAAAGTATGTTGCTCTATTTGGGGTAAAAGAAAATGTTTCCAAAAGCACTGTGCATGATATTTATGAAAAAAAAAAAAAAAACTGTCCTTATAAAATTCTGAAAACCCAGACTTCATTTGTTTTCAAACTTGGTTGAAATTTTTAGTGAAAAGAGTGATCTTTGAGAAGTTTTCAATTTTTTAGATTGAATAATGAAATATAGTTGGAGGGAAAACAAGATATTTTTAGTAATTTCTCTCTAACAGAAAATGGACATTTTCTGAAATAAGTTTCAATAAAGTATTTGCAGAAATGAGTGCTTTTCAATGGCTAAGTTGGATTTCCCAACTTTCTTTTCCACACCAATTTTTCATCGCTTAAAACTGGCATATGATCAGCTTTTAGAATCCAGTACCCAGTTGCTTGTGTCTGTGGGAGACAAATCAGGGGGCCTCCAGTGTGGAGAGCAGATAAACCACCTTGTGTCATGGGCAGCTGGGCAAAGCCATGAGTTCGAACCCCAGCAAATAAATCACCTGAGTATGTGCCAGGTCACTCACTGGAAATATCTGAAGGGTTTGCTCTTTGGCAAATTCAGTGTGTCAAGAAGAAGGTGCGGAAACTGCACCATTTAGTTAGGGCTTCCTGGGGACTCTCTCTGAGGTATTCTTTGTACCGTGTTCCATGCCTGCATTAGCAGTTGTCAGTTATATTACCCTCTATTCTAATGGTGAGCTTAAACCTGTTAACTCAAATTTATAAATGTTTCTTTTTCAACGAGTGTTCCTGAAATGTTTATGTCTTGCAGTACTCACTTAATTCATCTTGCTTACACCTTATATAGCATGTGATTCCCACAGACATGTTCAGTTAGAGGCCGATGTAGTGTAGTGATAGAATATGAGGTATGGAACATCATTTAAATCTGCACATGACCTTGGGCTGGGAACAGCACAATCATTTCCACTGTAGCTCCTTTCCATGTATTTGGCTGTCTGGATTAAAATCTGAGCCATTACTAACTAGCTCTGGGATCCTGGACAAGTTATTCAACTCCTCTGTGTCTCCATTTTCTAATATGGTAATGGGACTATAATAGCTACCTTTAGAATTACTGTAAGTATCCAATGATATAAAACATATGAAGTATTTAGAATAGTACCTGGCACAAAAGGAGCACTAATTGTATGTTATTACTAAATAAAGCCAAGCATGTGCCTGTAGTTCCAGCTGTTCAGCAGGCTGAGGTGGAAGGATCACTTGAGCTCAGGAGTTCAAGACCAGCCAAGGCAACATTCTAAAAAATCATATAAACAACTGAGTGAATAAAAACCACGTAGAGTTCCTGACTTCAGTCAGTTTTTGCATTAAGTACATTGCCTTTTATTGATGATTACTTCCTGTGTTTAGCCTTGGGAACACAGAACTGAGGGACAACAATAAAAAGTGGCACTAACATTTCTCCTCCACGTAGAAGTTGCAACTTTTCTTGGAAATCAAGAGCTGCATGCTTGACCAATGTCTATTAGTCAAGTTCTTCAGGAAGAACTTCCAGGTAAATTCTGCTTCTAGGAGCCTGAAGCTTGGGAAGAGGTTAGGAACTCAAGAGAGATCATTAGCATGGATGATATTTAAAGCCAGGAGCATCATGCAAACCTTGAGGGAGTGGAGGAAATAGAAAAGAGGGGTAGGCCTTGAGCTTGGGCATATAGCTAGGACAAGGTAGGGAGATGAGACTCCTGCCAGAGAGATACAAGAACAGCCACGGACACAGCAAAAGGCCAAGGAGAATGAGTGCCATGGAAAAACTGAAAGTTCATTCAAGGGAATAAAAACACTCAAGAGGCAGAGGCAGGCAGATCTCTTTGAGTTCAACACGAGCCTGGTCTATATAGCAAGTTCCAGGCCATTCTTTTAAAAAAATGGAAGAGGGAGGAGTAGGCAACTAGGTCAAGTGCTGGTGAGAAACCAGCAGAAATAAGACCAGAAGAGCCAGGAAATTATTTGTTGGAATATTGTGGGCTGGGTCACTGAGACTCATTTGAATGATTCCATGATTGCGTGATGGCAGCAAGAGCCTCACTGAAAAGGCTTACAACTCTTAGCTCACACAGCCAGCAGGCTATCCAATCACAGGTCTGCTTATAAAAACTTATTTTTCAATTCATTTGTTTCACACTGATTTAGTACTCTAAGAGGTTTGAGACAAGGAAGATTTGTTAACTGTGTTGTCGGTTACTCCCCTAAACCTAGTAAAGGTTCAAGAAAAGGGTAAGAGTTAAAGAAAACTTAAGAAATGGAAGTGGTTTCTTAGCAGATAAGAAAAATAGTTATTCTCAGATTTAGGAGACAATGTAAGTAACGTAAGGGAGGAATCAAGTCAGAACTGGAGAGTAGAACAGAGTGGGAGCCCAAAGACATCCTCACCCCCCCGCCCCCCACAAACCACTCAGGATTCATCTAAGTGTTCCTTAATGCCTCTGCTTTCCTAGTTTGGACAGTCCATAAAAATAAGTGCTTCCTACTTGCATTGCTGAAATTCCTGGTCTTCAATGTTAATGTCTTAGTTTCCTTTCCTGATACTGTGATAAAATACTCTGACAAAAGCAACTCAAGGAAGAAAGAGTTGATTCTGGCTCATTGTTCAAGGGCACAGTCCATCACAGTGCAGAAGTCAAGGTGGCAGGAGCTTGAAGCAACTGATCACATTGCATCCAAATCAGGAAAACAGTGATGACTGTATGCTGCTGTTTTCAACTTCTCTTCTCTACTTATATATAGTCAGGATCCCATCCAGGAAATGGTGCCACCCATGGTGCATGGTTCTCCCCATTTCAATCAACACAATAAAGATAATCCCCCAGAGACCCATTGGCCAGATGATTCTAGATTCTGTCAAGTTGACAATACTAGCCATCACAGTCATTAAGAAAGCCAGAATTGGGAACTGGAGAGATGGCTCCTCATGTAAGGGCATGGGCTGCCCTTGCAGTGGACCCAGGTTCAGTTCTCAGCATCCACATGGTGGCTCACAACTGTCTCTAACTCCAGTTCCAGGGGATTCAGCACCCTCTTCTGGCCTCTAAGGGTATTGCATGCTCATGGTGCACATACATATACACAGGCACTCACACATACACATAAAATAAAAATAAATAAATAAAAAGATTTTTTAAAAGAAAGCCAGAAGAGTTCATTTGGAGGAGCACCTATACCATTTCAAGGGCACTAGATTTAGCCTAAATTGTTCTGCCCAGATTATCTTCTGAAGTTTCTGTCATACAGAATAAGTCTTTAGGGAGTCATTTATGCTGACAGGAAGCACTCTTTTTAAAAAGCATATTTTAGGAGAGTTTTAGAGTTACAGAAAAAAGTGTACAGGATAGTACAGAGAGGTCCTGTGTAAACATCATACATTACTGTGGTTCATTTGTTACAACTAGTGAACCAATACTGATGTACTATTATTGAAAACTAAAGTCCAAATGCTATTCCAATTTTATCAAGTGTCTTATTCTGTTGTAGGATACCATGTTACTTTTAGTCATCATTCCCAGGAGTCATTTTAAAACTCTTAATAATCTTTCAAGAAAGTAATAAAGTTTCAATGTCCTTTGGTTCCAATATTTGTATCTTAAACCACAGTTTAAGAAAAGGAAAACTTTTTTTCCTTTTTTTAACAAAATCTCATAGTTGGAACTTGATCTTTAACTCGGATGAAAGGAAAAAAACCCCAAGACTCACACCTTGAGGTAATAGTTCAGGAGACTTTGTGGGAATGTAATAATATACAACTTGAGTGGAAGGTTTGAATCCCTCTTTATTGTTCTGGAAGCAAGCAATTAAAACTATAAAGGCTTACCAGAATTTCTGATTTCTCATCTCCCAGCAGAGCCATTAGTGTCTCACTCATCCTTGGCAACCTCACAGGATACTGGCCAGTGGTCTGAGCAAGGTTTTCCCTGCATAGCTTTAGAGTCCAGGCTTGTGACAGGTTGTAGGAGGGTTTTTCAGCAAAAGCTGTTATAATCCCTCAACCTAGAACAGCAAGGTCATGGGCTTTGTCGTGCTCACCAGTGTCTGAGAGACCCATACTGTTGGCACTCTGTATTGATGGGTCCCACATCTACAGACTCAACCAGCCTCAGATAGAAAATATTCGGAAAAATTGATGTATGTACTAAGGATGTATAGAATTTTTTTCTTATCCTTATTTTCTAAACAACATAGCAAGACAACTATTTATAAGCATTATAAATTATATTATAATCAAGAGATGATTTTAAGCACACAGGAGGATGAATGTAAATACTGCCATTTTATATAAGGGAATTTATATAGAGAGTCCATAGATTTTGGCCTATGCAGGCTGTGGGGGTGGGCACTATAAACACTTCTCTGTGAATGCCAAGGGGTATCTGCATACTTACTGACTGTGCTCTTGGGAGGATGTCTGACAGGAGATGGAAGGGCAGTGCTAAGAGGCCCTCACTTGGAACTCATGATCTCCCTTCTAAGCAAGTGTATTTAACCCTACACCCTATCAGATGCACAGGAAATTTCCAAGGCCAGCTCAAACCTACACTAGGCTTATTGGTGAAGTTACAAGAGAGTGAGGGAGCCTCATGCATTTTTCCCAGTGCCATTCAGTGACTTTCAAGATGATGCATAGCCAAGGCATAAGACGTTAAGCTCAAACATTTACCTTCTCACCCATACACAAAAACTTATGGTTTCCCTGCCATGGCTAAGCCACAGTATGAAATTCTTGCTAAAGAACAAGATGCATTTTGTGTGCCGATTTTTTTTTTTTTTTGGTCAGAGTCTTAGAGTCTTGCTGTGTTGCTCTGGCTGGTTTCGAACTCCTAGGTGCAAGTGATCTTCCTCCTGCTTCAGCCTCTGGAATAAGTAAGAATGCAGGCGATCTGCTTACTGATTTGATAACATAATATACTCCACAAATCTAGAATGCAAAAAGCAAAGGATCAGATATATACATCTTTAACTTAGCTTTCGTAGAAACTCATTTGGATAATATATTCATGGAGTGCCTCTGTGTGTCAGGTTCTGTGCTAAGGACTGTAGACAACTGTAGACAAGAAAACCAGGGCTTTGTCATGTCAGAAACCTTATGTCCACAGCACATTAGCCCAGGACCCCTAAAAGCAAAGTAATGAGCAAAATCAACACCCAGATGAACTCAGTACTTTATTTTACAGTCTGTTCTTACTCACCTGAGTCTAGAAGCTCCTGAGAAGTTTAATTTCTATATTAATCACTTTAGTCTCAAGGTCGTAATTCAACTGATACCCAAAGAGATCCTGACTTCACCAGTCTGTGGGCAGAGAGAAGACCAAATTAACAGCTTGTATTGTACTAACTTGTGCCCCTACCAAACTGATTCAAGCCCATGCCTTCACATCACTGCTTTGTTTGTATAAGAGTCCCCACCGATTATTTCTTAGCATCTCCATGCCATGACTGCATTTGAAATTTCTCAGTGTTCCTTTCACATGCTTCTGCCTCCAATACTGTTAGATGCCTAGTATCCCTTGCTTCTGGTGTGTGTGTGGGGTCCCTGTTGACTTGATGACCAGAGGCAACATGCAGCAGTATCCTCAATCTGTTCTGAAGGGGTCAAGTGGTGCTGCCTGTCCCTCAATCCTTCCTATGCCAAATCTGTACTATATTCCATTCAAAAGAGGAGAGACTGCTTCAGTCTACTGCTCAGTGTCCTATGTTGCCCCTGGACAGGGACCTCTTGAGCTCCACACACCATAGTTCTAAAAAAAAAAAAACAAAAAAAAAAACAAAAAAACACTTCATACAACCTCTGCTTACAGCTCCATTGATCTCAGCCCAAAGACTAAGTTTGGGCTGGGAAGACACAAACACCACCACCCCATTGCCTTCTGCTCCTTCCATCCCTGGGCCAAGCCTTCAGCGTCAGCATGAATCTTCTTTCTCTCTTCCTCAGCAGTTCCATTTATGCAAAGAACTGCCTGGAGACTTCCCTCCCCCAACTCACTGGACAAGTCAGTATGCCTCAGCGTAGGCTTGCCTTGTCTCATGCAGGCGACAAGCCTAGGAAAGCATTGATCGTGATCCTTCAGAGGAGCTCAGGACATAGCTACCCCATGAGCTTCTGATCCAGTCTAGTGGAGTAATGAGCACATGAGGCAACTAGTTAGGAATAAGGAAAGGCTGGTTAGTTTGGTCCAAAGAGGTGGTTTGATGTGGTGGTCCAGTTCCCTCATGTCTGTGTTCATTTCTATTGCTGCTTGAAATTTTTGCAAAATTGCTCACTTGAAACAACATGAATCCATTCTGCTGCAGTACTGGAGGTCAGAAGCCAAATATTAGACTTACTAGGCTTAAATCAAAGTGTAAGTAGGACTGATTCTCTCTGGAAACTCTTCTTGCATCTCTTGGTAGTCATCTGCTCACCTCATCTTGTAGCCACACCACACTCTATGTATCACGTTGCCCTTGCCTTCTGTCTCTAAAGTGTTCTTTTTACAGTCTGTTCTTACTCACCTGAGTCTGGAAGCCCCTGAGATGTTTAATCTATTTCTGTATTAATCACTTTAGTCTCAAGGTTGTAATTCAACTGATACCCTTATGATTACAGGAAACCTACCTAGCTAATCCATGATCAGCTCTCTATCTCTAGATCTTTAACTGAATGCCATCTCAACATTTACTATGGTTTGAATGAGAAATGTCCTCTTCTTGCTCATGTGTTTGAATATTTGGTCCCCAGCTGGAGGTACTATTTTGGGAGGCTATGGAAGCTTTAGGACATAGGGCTTAGCTATCAGACATAGGCCACTAGAGTGGGCCTTTGAAGGTTATAGTCCACCTCCATTTCTGAACTAGCTGTCTGCTTCTAGCCTGCCCCAGCCATCTCACAGTCCCACCCACAAAGACTAAGGTGCTCCCACAACCACTGGCCTTCCCTGACATAACAGGCTGAAATCCTCTGAAACTGTGAGCCAAAATCATCCCTCCCTCAAGTCGCTTCTGTCAGGTATTTTGTCACAGCAAAGAGAATCAATATTCCATGTACAGTCACATAGCCACATGTACCAGGGATTAGGTCATGCACATCCCTAGCAACCACTACTTAGACTGCTTATCATTGTGAAGGAGCAGTTCAGAAATTATGTGTTTGGGGGCCAGTGAGATAGCTCAGTAGGCAAAGGCCCTTGCTGCCAAACCTGATGACCTGAGTTCAATCCCTGGACCTACATGGTAGAAGAAGAGAACTGTCTTCTGCAAGTTGTTTTCTGACCTCTATACACTCACTGTGGCACGTGGCCATTCTACCCTCCACAGACTAAATAAATAAAAATAAATAAATAAATAGTAAATAAATGCAATTTCTATAAAAAAGAAATTATGTGTTTTTGCTGCCGTACCGTAGGCCTGGGATTAGTAGAAATGAGGGTTGGACAATTAATTCTATTAATTCCCAAGTTAACACACTAGTGATTTCAAAACTGCCCATTTCCACAATTTGGGGAGGGGGTGTTAGTTTGTTTGTTTTGATTTTCTGAAACAGGGTCTTCCTCTAGCCCCAGCCAACTGGAAACTTGCTATATAGACCAAGCTGGCCTGGATCTCACAGAAATCTGCCTGCCTCTGCCTCCCGAGTACTGGGATTAAAGGCGTGCTGCCACCTCACTCTGCCCATGATTTGTTGTAAATCTGATTTGACTTGTTACAGCTTTTTAAAAATATATATTTTATTTATTATTTTTATTTTATATGTATGAGTGTATTGACTGGAAACTTGCTATATAGACCAAGCTGGCCTGGATCTCACAGAAATCTGCCTGCCTCTGCCTCCCGAGTACTGGGATTAAAGGCGTGCTGCCACCTCACTCTGCCCATGATTTGTTGTAAATCTGATTTGACTTGTTACAGCTTTTTAAAAATATATATTTTATTTATTATTTTTATTTTATATGTATGAGTGTATTGCCTGCATGCAGCTTTTTAAAAAAATGTTTTCTGGGCTGGAGAGCTGGCTCAGTGGTTAAGAATACTGACTGCTCTTACAGAGGACCCAGATTTGATTCCCAGCACCCACATGGCAGCTAACAACCATCTGTAACTCCAGTTCCAGGGGATCAGATGTCTTCTTCTGACCTCCGAGGGCATTGCATGACATGAATGCACTTATAAACATGCAGACAGTACACTCATAAAATAAAAAACAAAACAAAAAAGTGACATAGCAAATGAGATTTCTTCAAAGTGACTTTCAGGCATGTCTTGACAGAGCATGCTGATATAGTCCTGATACCACTATAATACTGATGCGGCAAAGCTTCAAAGTCTATGAGCAGTACTGTAGTACTACGGGTCTGAAAATGTACTTATGAATAGTAGTAACAGCATTTATGAATAGGACCCATGCATTTTGCTTTGTTCTTATTCTAACATGCTCAGTAGGATTATCCTCTGATATCATACTAAGAGACATGAGACTCAGCATGGCTCTCAGGCTGGTCCATTCACATACAGTGAGTTGAACATGAACAATCACAAAGATATTTCCCAGTGAGCCTGCTAAGGACCCAAATTGCATGCTTGAAGCTAATTCTGCCAAAATTCCAAATAAGCTGAGACATGAATCTTTGCTTCCCACCTCCCTTTTTTTAATCAACAAATATGTGTGATGATAGCAAATAGTTTAGTAAGTCATCCAACATACTGATTGCATCAAAGTCATGGTGAACTCAGATCCTGTCTCTCTCTGTGAACTTTGTAAGCCATGTTGAAGGAGATCTAAATGATTGCCTCCCACAGAGGTGTCCCTGACCAATGTCAACACTTGAAAAGCCATATGAAAATTCAGTGGCACATCCTGGGTATGGGGTATGTTTGTGGGATGTGAAGAAGAAAGGAAAGACAACACTTATCACATGAAGAAAACATTATGGGGAGATCCAAATTAACTTCACTTTCAACTTTATGAGCTTTGAAATATCAAGCAACATGGATATTGGTCCCTTCTTTTCAATATCCCCTTGCACTGTTTAACTGTAACTTACTTCCTGCAGTTCATTCCTGAAATACAGCCAAAGAAAAGAAAAATGCTAAAACTTCTTCTCAAGAGCTTTTTGGGACCTATACTTTAAGGCTTCACATGGGGCCACTGTGAGTGTCACATCCACTGTTGTGTGAGCTTTTCCTGGAGAGATGAGAAGCAAGTGTCAACTCACCCCACATAGGGCATCAACTCACCCCACATAGGGCACCAACGACAGAACAAAGCATGATCTCACCCAAGTCCTACTTGGCGAACCAATGAGCTTACTTGATTTTCTTACAGATGTTGACACCAAAACACAACTTCTACCTCAAAGGGGATAAGAGATCATTTATTCTGGAGCCAAATATGAGTGACCATGGCCAGGAACACAGATTTAGGTTACCCCAAATTCCATGTTCCAACATGGTAACAGTTTGATGACACTATAGTAACAGAACAAAGAAAGTCATAAACCAAGGAAGTTTTCAAAAATCTTGGTGGAAATATTAGGTAGGTAGGTTACAGCAAAGTGGGGGGAAATCTCTGCTCTAAGTCTTGGGTGCTTTCAGATGACATTCTTAGACTTTTGGTTGGTGGAAGCTAGTGGTCTGTTAACATTCCCAAAGGATGTTAGGTCAGACACAGAAGTGAACAAGGAATGGCTATAAACGGGGCTGAAAGGAGCCCAAGATGAATTACAATTAGGCTTGGACCTGTAAAGTTCCAACCTCACTTCAAATCATTGAAGATCCAGTCAGTTAATCAGCCTTGTAGAAGGATCACTGGAAGGTGCAGCTCTTTCCAGGAACTTTTGTTCACACCGAGTATGGGTGAGGAACTTCATACAAAAGCATGAGTGACCTCAAAGCAGCCACACCGCTGAAAGGTCTCAGCCCAGCATACATGGATGAAGATGTCCCCACAGTTGCACAGAAGGAGTTCCCCCTTCAGTTAGACTTCCAGCACCTTCCAAGACCATGAAAGCCCATGAAGCTGGCAGAGAGGTGCAGGAGTAGCTGAGATCTCAAGCAAGAGTCTGATGACCCTTCCTGCCTCTTCCTTCTATGAGAGATGTCAACAGAGAGGCTCATGAGTAGCCACAGCTGCTTGTGATGGTGAAGACTGTTCTGTTCAGAGGACAGTGTTATGCAATATCCACACAACAGTGCAGCCAGACTTTGTCCTTAGCCTAGCTGGGAAGGGTGATGACACAGTCATGGACAAGTGGGAACCAGACCTGAGACAAGTGATAACTCTTTGGGGGAGCCTCAAAGTGAAGTCTTCACCCCACA